GCACAAAGGTGGGGTTGGGGCAAAGGATGGTTTGAAGGGAAAACCGCTTCAAACGGCCCCTGGAAGAAGGAAACGCGCTACACGGGAGCATCCAGTTGGGCCTGTTCCCCAGCCCCACCTTGGGAAAACCCTCCCTCTGCGACCCCCGGGCCGAATGCCCCTGCACTTGCCGCTGCCGCGGAGAAGAAGGCAATGCAGATGGGCAGGCCATGCGGCCACGGGGGCTCACCCGCTGCAGAGCGCCGGCGCCTTCAAGATATGCGTGAGGTTTTTTTCGTGCGGGCCGCGCCGCGGAGACGGGGGGCAGACGCTCCCGCTGGCCGGCCCCACATGCCCGTGGCGAAGGAACGAAGGGAGGCGAAGGGCAGCCGAGCTCGGCCCAGCGCCAACGCTGGAAGGGCCTTGAGCGCTGAGGTCCCAGGGGATGCCGCTGCGCCAGCGTCGCGACGGAGCTGCAGCAGCCTGGAGCTCATTAGGCCCCAGGGGATGCCGCTGCGCTGGCGCGGCGACGGAACTGCAGCAGGGCCCCAGGGATCTTGGCCGCATCATCATGCAGGACACGGACCGAGGCGAGGCCGAGGAGAAGAAAGAAGAGCGGGGAGGAGGGGGAAGACAAGCAGGAGGACAAAGAGGAGGAGGAGGAGGAGGAGGAGGAGGCCGACGCAATGGGCCACACGGCCGGGCCCCAGACACTCCCGACGCTGTGGAAGAACCACGGAGCCCTCGAAGAGCACGACCCCTGCGAAGGCGCGGGCGGGGGGCATCCTCTATGGACTCCGAGAGCGACTGGTGCCTCGCTAGGCGCTCGTGCCGCTCTACGTCCAGGCAGTGCGCCACCTCCGCGCTGCGCGCGCGCCGGCGCGCGGCGCGCGGCGCGCGGCGGCCCGCAAGCGAGAGGGACCGGCGGGGGCGGCGCAGGCGGCCTAGTGCGGCGGGGGGGGGCCGCGCGACAGCGTTCTATGCAGCCCGCACTTCGCCCGCCCCTCCCACCAGCCCCTATCCCTCCTCCTCCTCCTCCTCCTCCTCCTCCTCCTCCTCCTCCTCCTCCTCCTCATCCTCCTCCATCCTCCATCCTCCATCCTCCATCCTCCATCCTCCATCCTCCATCCTCCATCCTCATCCCCATCCTCCATCCTCCATCCTCCATCCTCCATCCTCATCCTCCATCCTCATCCTCCATCCATCCTCCATCCTCCATCCTCCATCCTCCATCCTCCATCCTCCATCCTCCATCCTTCATCCTCCTCCCTCCTCCCTCCTCCCTCCTCCCTCCTCCCTCCTCCTCCCTCCTTCTCCTCCTCCTCCTCCTCCTCCTCCTCCTCCTCCTCCTCCTCCTCCTCCTCCTCCTCCTCCTCCTCTGCCCCTGCTTTTTTCTGCTGCGCTGCTCGAATGGAAGCGGTGCGCTCGATGGAACCGACGACCCCCGCCCGCTTGCGAAGCTGAGCGGATTCTCTGTCCTGGAGCCCTCGCTTGCCGTGCTCGCCAGCCAGCTGGACCGCCAGACGGCGCGCGCCATCGTGCAGGGCAAACTATCGCAGCCCGTCCGCATGGAGCATATGCTTTACCGAGGCCTTCCTCGAGGCCACGTGCGTGCCAGGGCCGCAAACCCGCGTCCCGAGATCCCACACCAGCCCTCGGCATGTAGGCGGTTCAGCGTTCCATCTCTTCCAAGTCCTCCCTCGTCCCCTTCGGAGAAGCGCTACCCCTCCTGCACGCACCCTCACCCAGGTGTGGACGCGCACTCTCCCCCGCGAGGTGTCACAGTGCATGGCTACAAGATGGCCCCAGAGATTCCAAGATGGCATCCAAGGTGGCAGGAGATAAGCCAAGGTAAAATAACATGGGTCACAACATGCTCCAAGAGGCAATAAGATGCTCACAAGAAGGCTCCAAAGTGGCCACGGAACCTCCAGACGATGCCTCAACACAGCTAAAACCTTTCATACACGAGGTGGTAAAATGATGTTAGTCATTTCATCCTTTCGCTGTCAATGAGCTTCAAAGGCCTCGGGACAAGGTCGCCCCAGAGATCCCCGATGGGAGTTCAAAGAAGGCTCCAGGACGCTCTCCAAGGCGCCCAAGGGAACCCCAAAAGAGCCCCAGAAGAGCCCTCAGAGACTAATGTCTGGATCCGACTGGGAGGGGCTTTATCTACGACCCCCCTTTTTGATTGGTTGACTCCTGGATGCGACCACAGAGAGCCTCCATGGCCCCCCGTAGAGCCTCAAGAGAGCTTCAAAGGCCTCCGCTAACGCCCCACGAGGGCCCAAACACTCCCCCAGGAAGCACACGCATTCGACTGCCTTCATCACCCACGACCATGCAAGGAGGAGGAGGAGGCGGCGCAACAGGGAGGAACCGCGGGCCTCAGCGAGCTTCCGTCGCGGGCTTCCTCGGGGAAGGTCCCTCGAGGCGGGAAGGAAAATCGGGGGGAAGGGGAAGAAGCGGTGGTGCGGGTTCGGCGATATTGTCGTCGAAATGGCACCAGCCACCAGCCACAATACTTTGATAACGACCTTAATTCGGGAAACAGTTCCTTTTGCAGCACGAGCGTCGGGTCGCGTCAGCTCCCGATCACTGGCCTGTCCACGTCTGCGCACTCCAGAGAGAGCCGTCTCGGATTTCGCCAGTACGGAATACCTTATTATACAACTGATTCGTAGATAACTGTGGCTATCGATGGATGCCGAGCTCTCTGGAGCTCATAAGCGAGTCAAAGTACCGCCCAGAATGCGGCCGAAGGGGCACCACTGGATTCCAAAAGATTAGGGTACAGCAGGCAATGCACACTCCCGTGGGCCCGCACCATAGACCCCTCAGGCGAATTCGGTGGTAACTCATGGCAGCCTCCATGCAAGATTGCTGGCTCTTGCAAATCGACGCTGACCGACGCTCATCGACGACGCTAATCAACGACGCTAAGCGACGACGCTGATCGACGCTGAGTCGACGCTGAATCGACGCTGCATCGGCGCTATCCCATGGATTCACCAGACGCTAATCGACGCTGGTGCATCCTAGAGCCGGAACTGCGAGGGCACACAAGGCGAGGGCACACAAGGATCCCATGATCTGCCATGCCGAAGACGAAAGGCCGCTCTCACGCGCAGCCGGCCTTCGGCCGAGAGTCGGGGATCTTCTGACCAGGGTCAATCCCGACCCAGGCCAGTCAGGCCTTGCAGGATCTTGCAAGATCCTGCAAAATCCTGCAGGATCCTGCAGCCAAACCGGGGTCGATGCGACCCTTGGCCTGCAGGATCCTGCAAGATCCGGCGCTCTGGCCGACCCCCATTTGCATTGTCCCCTGTCTCTTGAACCCCGAAGGTCCCAGAGATCTGGTGTCGTGATTTTTTCATACGGGGTCCCCGGAAGTCTCGACCCATTCCCCAGGACAAGTTTTTTATCCTGAGTCGTCTTTTGACGGTCCCGAGGCCCGGCGAGGGGGCCGAAATTTGCGAAAAACCTTCGTCTTGATTTGTTCCATACGTTGGATCTCTGGGGAGTGGGGGGAGGGCGCTGGCGCCGCCTCCTCGACCCTCCTCTTCAGGGCCGCGTGCTCGTCGCCGGACTGCGGCGGGCGCGGCGGCCCGTGCGCAAGCACCCGTCGCAGCCCGCCGTCGCTCGGGGCGCACAGGGGCATGCCAGTTCTGTGTGCTTCTGCTGGAGGCGCTCGTCTGACCCCAACGCGTCGTTTCCCGAGAGGCGTGGCCAGAGAGCGCCCGCCACGGACCGCACACCATCGGGTGTCGCTAGAAGTGCCCCTGGCCCAAGGTGCCCCCAGGATTTGCAAAGGGACCTCCACGACCTCCAATGCATCCCTCACGAGGCCCAGGGGGTCCCAGGGGCTCCAAAACGGAGCGAAAAGTTGGGGGCACCGTGGGCCACGGGCTCGTTTAGCAACCCCCGGCACCGCAAGATGCTCGAGCAAGCGCGCTGGCGCATCGGAGGCAGGGGATCGACCGGCGGCGCGCCCTCTCCTCCCCTCGGACGGGACTCTGGGTGCAGAGGCCTCCTAGATGGGTTCGGCGCAGCTGGGGTCGGAGGATCGCGCCGCATCGCCGATGCATAGGCGCTGCATCGTCGGCATCGGCGATGCATCTCGGCGACGTCGACGTGAAGCAAATCGGGCTGCACATCCTGCCGCATCGGCGATGCATCGGCGATGCGGCGGGATCCTCCGACCCCATCAACTCTTAGGTCGGGTTGGTGAGATTCTTTTTCGGGGTGTTCGCCTGGATAAGTGAGCCGAAACGTCAATGGCGCACACAATGGCATGACATCCACACACACACACACTCTCTCAGCACAATCATGTCAGGGGCTATGGGTTTATGCAGCCCCCTTCGTGCCGCCCGGTTCCTTTTTTCAGGCACGACTCAAACCCATGCAAAACAGAGCCCGGTCTCAACAGCACATATGTTACAGGATCAATTCGAGCACTCGGACGTGCCCAAAGCAAGCACTAACCATCGCCACCGGCCGTAGCCCTTCCAAGGCAAAAGATGGCGTGGAGGCTGAAGAACTGCAAGCCAAAATGGCCGTCGTCGCATACGTGCCCCGTAGACCTTCGCCCGGAGGGCAATCGAGAGGGGCGCATCCGAGAGCTCAACACTCATCATGCTCAAGGCTCGCAGCATCGCTGCCTGATCTAGGCACTTGGTGCCCAGGTCCGCGGGATTGGCTTTGCCCGGGACCTTGGCAAGCTGAAAACGGCCGTCGCGGAGGGCCCGCTGGACCCACAGCGTCGGCGTCCCCAGGTGACGAGCCTGGCCGCAGCCTCGGGACTGCATGATGCCGAGGGCCGCGGCCGAATCACTCCATACACGAAGGCCCATCTCACGACCGAAGCCCCGACTCAGAGCCTGCACGCCGATGGCCCTGCTGGCCGCACGCACACAGCCGTTGAACTTCGCCTCGCCTGAGCTCATAGCGATCGGGATCTGCATCGTCGAGGCCGTCACGATCAGGCGCTGGCCGTGCTTGATCACGACCGAGCTGGTGTTCCTCCCAGTGATCGGGCAGCCAGCCCAATCCGTGTCCGAGTAGCTGTCCAGGAAGGCTGGCCCCCTCTGGCGGCCCCACCTCCACACAGCGCGCGGCGCTCCCACGCGGAAGCGCCCAGCACGCTTCAGCAGTCTGCGAAGGCGCTCTGTCGCCACGCGCGCACTCCTTCGCGGCGAACTGCAGCCCTTGGCGGTCGAGCGCGAGATAGCCAAGCCTCATGCACGCACTGCGGTACTCGGCCGCCTCGGACTCGGGCAGCTCACGCTCGACCTCGGGCGCCAGCTTCTGGCTCACGCCGGGCGTGCTCAATGACCTCGTGTCCGACGTCATCCCAAGCTGCGCATGGAGGATCTGCGCGCGCCTGGGGTCCGCCTCGCACTCGATGGCCTCGCCTCCCTGACTCCACCGGTCTCGCCAGCGCATGACCCTGTCGAGACGCGCGATCTCCTTCAGATCGGTCGGCGCTGGCCTGAGCACGCCACGATCCTTCACGATGAACTTCTTACTCGGCACCTCACGGATCGCCTCCGCATCCTTGCGGGGGCCCTCGGGCACGAAGTCGTCGCCGCGGTGGAAGAAGCCCACCAGCTTGTCCACGCGGTAATACACGCACGGGGGGCCGACGACTGTCTCGGAGGTCGCCAGCTGGAAGTCCTGGCCGGCGTCGCGCGCCCGTGGAGAGCCATCCTCAAGGGCCCGCACTTGCCTGCCTCCTGCGACATCGGGTCCTCCTAGGGGAGCCCGACGCAGAGTGCCTCCTTGATCTCGCAGCGCGGGTGAGCCCGCGAGATATCCAAGGAGCGCAGGACGCGACCCTCGGCCAGGTCGCTCGACATCACCAAACTACACACGAGCCGGAGGCACTCCAGCGGGGGCGTCGCTGCGAACACTGCACCGACGTCGCCCCCAGCGATGGCGCTCTGCGCCATAGTCTTCTGGGCGACGAGACGCGACCTGTAGTCAGGCCGGCTGGAGTCACCCTCGTCGATGTCAACCCAGCGCACACTGAGAGGCTTGCGGCCGAGCTCACGGCAGCAGTCCTCGACACTCGCGTAGGTCCACACGCCGAGCTGGGCCATGAAGTCCATCTCCGATCGCCTCGGCGCCTCGACCTTCTCGGCGCCCAGCGGCACCCCCGCGAGGTCGCCATAGAACTCGGTATTCTAAGCGTCGCGCCAGCGCCCAGTGAAGTCCTTCAAGCCGATCTCCTCGTCGCCCAAGTTCGGCCCCGCATCGAGGGCCGATGAAGCGAACGCCTTCTTGTTCGAGAGGTGCTGGCGGACACCGCGCAGCATGGCTCGGAGGACCTTCGTCGAGCACCTCTCCGCCACGCGCATGTCAAGGCCGACGAAGGTGGAGCGCTCGCGCCGAGGGCCAATCCCTGCGTCGTTAGGGCAGCGCCTGCAAACCTCAGCCAACACCTCCATGTTGTTGCTCATCCACCCCGTCGGCCCCTCGGCGAGCCTGTCGCCGCGCGCGTCCAAGGCCACGAGGCCGAACGCGCACTAACCCCCTCATCCGACCACCACACCGGGGAGGGCCATCACGTTCTCCACGACATCTGGGACCCAGCTGTCGGCGCCCCAGGGGCGCTCGCGAAGGAACGCGCGGCCATTCACGACCTGCAGCGCGCGCAGCTCCGCCGCAAACCTCATGTGCTCGCACCCGATGGCAGAGGCCCGGCGCTGCTTCGCGGAACCCTCATTCAGGTACTTCAGCATGGAGAACGGCGCGCAGCTAGGGCTGCCCAGGAGAAAGTACGGCTGGTAGTGCTCGACTAGCTCGCGACACTGCCGCCGCTGCTGGCGGCGGTCGGACAAGTCCCAGCCGACCCCGACGTCGAACGAGCCACCGTGGATCAGCCCGACGAGCGGCGCAAAGCCCACGAGCTGGTTCGGGCAGGACACCTCCATCACGTCAACCTTGCGCCCGCTGTAGCCGAGCGAAAGCAGCAGCGCCTCGATCTCCTCCTGCAGGCCGCCGTCGCCCAGGTCTGGAGGAGCCGGGGCCATGTCCACATCTGCGGCTGCCCACTGGGGCCAGCCCACCGCGGCCTGACGACCCGCCCCCGCCGCCATCCCCACGCCGTCGCTTCCGATCTCGGGCCTCCTCGACCCTCTGCCTCGCCGCGTCGATCGCCTGCTCGATCCGAGCGCGGCACTCGGAAGAGTGAGCCTGCGCCCGAACAACGGGGGGGATCGCGGCACAGCCGTAGCAGCCTGGTGTGGCGCCATATTTCGCGATCTAGACGTCCTTCCTGACGTGGACGGCTCGCGGCCCAGCACTCGGCCGCGAGCCTCGAGGAGCCCGAGGTGGGAGGTCCACTCCATCGAGGACCGGCGGCACTGGAGCGCCGGCTGGCACGACCTGCGGCACTAGAGCCCAAGCCCGCACAGCCAGCCCAGGCACGCGGATCTCGATGGCAACCGGCACCTCGTCAACAGCCGCATTCGCCGGCACAGGCGCCCTCGGCTCCCCCGCGGGAGCGTTCAGCATGTCCTTGTCGCCTCACTGGTCGATCGGCAGCCGCTTGAAGGCCCCGGCGCGCAGCACGCCGAGCTCCGCGCCGACGCAGACCTCGGGTAGAACCCAGAGAAGAACTCGTCCTCGACGCTGGCCTTCCGCCTGCCCCCCGGGAGGCACAGCACTGTCTCCGAGAAGCAAGCGAGATCCTTGCCGCAGGCCCGGCCGCGCCCGAGTTCCCACGCGGCCCGACCATCAGCGCCGCGCCTGCCCGGGTTGATCGACATCGCTGCGCACTCGACCATCCACGGGATCACCGGGCGGTCGGCACCGATGCTCACGCCGCGGAGATCGTCGACCTGCGCCCTCACGGCCCCGACTTCGGTTGGCCTCCACCTCGCGCGCGGCGCGCTCGGCGAGGCCATTGCCCTGGGACCGCCGACCGCGCTCTCCTCGGGGGCCGTCTCGACGCCATGGTCCTCCTTGAGCTTGGCTGCGATGCGAGTCTCCAAGGCCACGAGAGAAGCCTCGCCATCCGAACGGAAGACGAAGCGCTCGTGGCCAGCCAACGCTAGCCTCTTCGACCGCGATTTCTCCAGCCAAGGATACTGCACCCCCTTGGCCGGCACCGTGGACGCGTGGAACCAGCGCTGCTTGGAGCCTGTGCCGATCGGCAAATCAGCATCGCCACCCCGTCCTCACTCGCGCCAAAGTAGCAGCAGTCGACGCCGACCACCGCGAGGGCAGCCCCCTGGCGGTCTGCGGCGCATCGGCCCGCTGACGGGCCCCTGCCGAGGACGCACTCCCGGCGCCGCGCCCTGCAAGGCTCGCGCAGCACCTCGCGCGCGGCTCGCTCGGCCGCCGCCGGGGCCGCGGGCCCCCTCGCCAGTCGCACCGGGGGGCCCTTAGCGACCTCCTCGCGGAGCGGGCCTGGCTGGCCGGCCCCGCCCTCGGGAGGCCCTGGGCCCGGCACCTCCACGGGGTGAACCTCCGGCGCGCACGGGTCGACGGGCACGTCAATCTCGCAGACCTTGTTCCTGCGGAAGGACTTCGCGACATCTCCACTGGCCTCGTGGCACGCGCAGCTAAGATCTCGCCCGCCCTCGGAGTCGAAGACGAGCCGATAGCCTGAGTCGACCATTTCCGCGACGCTCAGCAACGGCTCGCTGACGTCCGCCACCCTGCACTTGGCGGCGCGTGCCTGGGTAGCCCCGGGCATCTCCCCCGCGAGGGGCCTCTCGCCCTCGCCAGCCACGCAGTCGCCAGAGGCGGTCTTGTAGGCGACCGCCCCGCCAGGACTCTCGCGCACATGGGTAGTCCGCACGCGAGCCGCGCGGCAGCGCAGAGGCCGCTGCGCACGAGTCGATGCCCACGCGCAAGACGCCGTTGAGCTCGACCTCCTCCGCATCCGCGTCGCCGTGGATCACGCTCACGCCCAGGGTCGCACTGGTCGACGCCGTCCGCCGCCACGGGCCCCGGGTCGTTCAGGGCGAGGGAGTGGAGGTGCACGAACGGGTGGCTAACCTGCTCGCCGTCGTCATTGAGGCAGAGCGCCGCAATCTGCCGAGACGCTTCACTCGTCGAAGACGATGCTGGACCTATCCTCGCGATCGGCCCGGTCGCACCACCAGGGCCCACTCCGAGCTGATGCTGCTGGTTCAGGCGCGACAGGGCCTGCTCCATGCTCGCCAGCGCGCCAGTGTTCTTACTGGGGCACTCTCGTCGGGCGCGGCCTCGGCCGCCGCAGCCCCAGCAGAGAGGCCCGAGTTTCTGGCCCTGGCCCTTGACTCCGCTGGCCTTGCTCTCGCCGTCAGACTTGGTCTCCCCCTTGCCGTCGCCCCTGCCCTTGCCTTTGCCGTCGCCCTTGTTCATGCCCACGCCGTCGCCCCCGCCCCTGCCTTCGCCGCCCTCGGCGAAGGCGCTCAGATCAATCGGCACGGGGACCGGGGCGATCGCACTCTGGGCCCTGCGGATGTCCGTGACCTCCCGGCGGAAGTCCTGCCACTCCACGAGCCGGGTCGCATTGAGCAAGAGGCGTTGCCGCAGGGGGCCTTCCTCCATCTGGCGCAGCACAATACCATCCTCATTGAAGCCGTGAGGGTCTCGCCACTCCGCTGCCCATACCGAATCAGCTCTCGCTCGAACAGCGCTAGCCTGCCCTCGACATCGCCAGCGAACGTTAAATTCAGAAGGTTGGGCAGCTGGCCAGCGATCCGAGACCGCGCTTTCGGCTCATAGTACTCTACCAGTTTGCGCCACGCTTGGAAGCCTTCCTTCACGCCGCTATTGACGATGGTGGTCAAGGGATACTGGCGGCAGAGGAGGAAGAGGAGGAGGATGTAGTTCAGCTGCTGCGAGGCCCTCTGGAGAGGCTCGTCGGCGAGGTCGTCGATGAGCACCGAGATCGCGTCGGCGCTCTCAGCCCGACGCATCCCGATGACTAGGTCTGGGTTTACAACTGCACAGTACGCCCTGAAGATGACCTTCCAGTCGTTCCACTTGTGCTCCGCTCCAGTGAACACGTCAGGCTTGCCAAGCGTCCGCGTGTCCACCAGGGGGCCCACTCGAGGCACAGCCGCGGCAGCGGCCGGCTGTGGGGCCCCGCCCGCTGCGGCTCGGCCAAGGCGCTGCTCCTCGGCCGTCAGCTCGTTCTCTCTGTTCTGTCGGTTCTGGAGCTCTTGCGTCATGGCCTGCACCGCCCCCCCAACTGTTGGACGCTCTCTTCAGTCGCAATCTCAGCGACCGCGCTCTGATGAGGGCTTGGGCGCCGCGAAGAGCATCAGATGGTTACCAAAGAGCTGACCACAGGCGCCTAAACTTGAACAACTTCCGCAGAGCCCGTGCTATCCGTCGCCAGCCGTTGCTGGTCAGGAAGACCCACTCCTCGTCGCCAGGCGCTCCTGGACCGTGCGCGGCACCCACGCTCGCGGGGCCGGGAACCGGAACCCCCGCTCGACGTCGGCGGGGACCACGGCTCCGCTACCATGGTGAGATCTTTTCTCGGATTGCTTGCCTGGAGAGGTGAGCCGAAACGTCAATGGCGCACACAACGTCATGATATCCAAACCTTCTCTCAGCACAATCAATGCAGGGAGCTATGGGTTTCTGCACGGGCATTTCCTCCTACAGGGCAAAAGAGACCCAGATATGGTCAAAAACCGGCGAACATCGTCCCCAGACTATCTTCTAAGATATTTTTGAGCACTCTTCCTGTGGAGGGACATGCCCGACTCAAATCTGCTCTGGCCCCCTCTGGGAGGCCTGGAGGGTGCCCACTCGTGGCCACGGCGGCGCGCAGCTCCAGCAGCTGGCGCCCGGGTGGGCCCCCGGGGCGCGCCGGGAGTCTGGCTCGGGGCGGCGGGGGGCCCGCGGGCGGCGCGCGAGGGCGGCAGCCTGCCACGAAGGGAGGAGGGGAGGCTTCGAAGTTCCTCGAGTAGAGAGCAGAACGTCAACCCTCCCACCCTGACCTTCCAGGAGGGCTAAAAAATAGCACCAGGACGTCGACGTCCTCATTCCTGTCGAGGTTTGAGGCAGTCCAGATAGATCTATAGGTCTGGAGTGCTATTGTTTAGCGCTCTGGGAGGTCAGGGCAAGAACCACCCCGACATGCGATGTCGTTTCGTACAAGCACCCGAAAAAGGAATCAAGCAGGGCAGGGCTGTTTCGTAAACGCCCAAAGCCGTTTCGCAAACGCCGATGATCGGTTCCGGGTGGTGTTTCCTCCCTTGAGAGAGGGGCCCCGACGCTTCTAAGGACCCTCCCGACCCGTCTGAGGAGCTCCGCTGCTCAGGTGCGAGCGAACCGCCAGAAAGCTGCGGAGGGTGCGGCGCTGCATGCACACAATTTCGACCATGGACGCCCTTGTTACCCATCGCCCCTGGGCCGTCATTGGCGGTTTTCGATGGTATTCGGGTGGTTTGCGGCGGTCTTCGGCGGCTTCTGGTGGTAATCGGCGGTCTCTGACGGTCCATGATCGAACGCATGCTGAGAAGCTCACCGCTTCCAGGAGATGAAGAAAGGGGAGGGAGAAGAGGGCGCGCCGCCGAGTACTGTAGACCCGCGCGACGGCAGACCCGTGCGACGCGAGCGAAAGAGGGAGGAGGGACCTTCCAAGAAGGCCGGGGGCTTCTTGGAGAGCCGACGCCCCACCCCCTCGGCGCGCCCCCCCTCTCCCTGGACTCTCCCTCTTGCTTCGCGAGAGAGAGAGAGAGAGAGGGGGAGGGACCTTTCAAGAAGACAGCGGGCCTCTTGGATAGCCGACGCCCCCATCCCCCTCGGCGCGTCCTCTCCCCCCTCCATGCTTCGCGCGGCGGGGGGACCTTCCAAGCAGGCGGGGGGCTTTTTGGAGAGGCGACGCCCTCCCCTCCCCTCGGCGCGTCCCCCCCCCCCCGCGGCGGTGGCTGAGCGGTTGGTCTTTGGGTAGCGCTCCCTCCAGGGGGGGGGGGGGGCACCTCCTGGCAGGCGGAGGAAGAGCCCACACACACACACACACACAACACACACACACACACACACACACACACACACACGCACGCACGCACACACACACACACACACACACACACACACACACACACACACAAACACACACACACACACACACGCACGCACGCACGCACGCACATATACACACACACACACACTCGGATGTTTCCCTCTTCCCATGCCGCGCGGGGAGAAGGAGAGCACCCCACTCCCCCCCTGGCACTCCAGTCTCTCTCTCTTCGCCTCTCGCGCGCCGGAGGAGGAGCACCCCCACCCCACCCGCAGCACTCGGTTTCTTTCCTCTTCCCATTCGGCGCGGGGAAGCGGAGAGCCCCGCCCCCAGCACTCCAGTCTCTCTCTTCCACTCTCGCGTGCCTAAGGAGACCTCCCCCACCCAGAGTTCGGACTTTGTTTTTCTCCCCTCCCGCGTGGGGAGAGGGAGAGCAACCCCCCACCGTCCCTGGCACTCCAGTCTCTCTCGTCCCCTTTCGCGCGCCGGAGGAGGAGCACACACACCCCGCCCCAGCACTCAGATCTGTTCTTATTCC